AACTCATGAAAAGTTTGGCATTCTCACTGGAAATCTTCTGGAGAGTTCTGCCCCCATCCCCAACTGCATGATGTTTCTGCTACTACAATCTCATGAGATTTCATCATTTGAAAAATTAAATTCTAATTGTTATTTTATTTTGGGAACTCAAAATTATCTAAGACTGCATCATGTATACTGGTGTCCGCAGACATACTGGTGTGTATATGTATGTGTATACACACACACACACACACTCATATACATTGTAATATAAAGCAAGGGTCTTCAAACTTGGCAAGACTTGTGGACTTCAACTCCCAGAATTCCTGATCTAACATGACTGGAAGAGGAATTCTGGGAGTTGAAGTCTACAAGTCTTAAAGCTATCAAGTTTGAAGACCCCCCCCCCCACAAGAGAGCCAGTGTGCTCTAGTAGTGGTTAAAGCACCAATCTAGAAAGCAAGAGATCATGAGTTCTAGTCTTGCCTTAGCCATGAAAGCCAGCTGAGTTACTTTGGGCCAATCACTCTCTTTCAGCCCAACTCATTTCACAGGGTTGTTATGGGAAAAATAGGAAGAGGAAGGTGTGTTAAGATATGTTCACTGCCTTGAGTTATTTGTAAATTAAATAAATAAAAATATAATCAACTCCCTGCACAAGTTATTTTTGGGTTCAATTTCCTAATATCAGATTGGGAAATCTGAGAATTATCTATCTGGAGGAACCAGACTGAATCCTCTTTTCAAAAGCATTAAAATGATTTGTCCACAAGTCCTATTTCATCAGGAGTAGAAAGAGCATCCGCAGCAATTATGCTCTGATTTCCAGATTTTAGAAGCAATTTGCAAAAGACATAATATTCTTTTTAATATGAACCCCAGTCTCTTCCAAACCGACTGCCTCTGGCACAGAAGCAACCATCCTTCTGAGTAAGCCTATTTATTTCAAGTCAAGCAAAACAAAAACAAAAAAACTACCCACCATGTGTTTTTGAGCAAGCCCAACGGGAAAGCAACTGCCGCACTAACGGTTCATCCATTTGCAGCCGATCACCATTTACAATGCAGTTTGTCAGCTGACACCGACAAAATGCTGCTTAATGGTTTGCACAGGCAGAGAGGGAAATACGATGCACCCCTCCGGATTTTAAAGCAACGCATTTCAAAAACCGCAAAACTCCACCTTCGAGTTTAATGTTGCTTTGCGTATCATGACTATTCCTTTAAAATATGTGGAACATCGCGTTTTGGAATGGGCAGCTATAACAAAATCTTTAAAAGTCGTAATAGGTTCCTGGCAGTTAGCAGACGATGGAAGTAGCAATAATATACTGAACAAAGGACGCAGCGAAATATAAGAGTGCAAGAGAGAAACATGATCCCTTTTAAGTCCTCAAACGCCAGGCACATTTACCCACAAAGAAAGAAGTGGTCCCAAAGGTGTTTTTTTTTTCTTTTTCCAAAGGCGAGTGGACTTTCTTGGTTTTTCTTTTTTCTTCGTTGAAAACGTTTCGCTTCTCATCCAAGAAACTTTCGGTTCTTCTATTTATTTGCATGAGAAGCGAAACGTTTTCAAAGGGAGGGGGGGAAAACCCTAAGAAAGTCTACTCGCCTTTTGGAAAAAGCGCCTTTGGGATCGGGATGGTTGAGAATCTCCCCGTAGACATAATGGCAAAAGGTTGGAAAAACCAAGAAACTTCCTCGCGCGCTCCAGAGTTGAACTTGCTCGGAGCGTGAACTTTTCCAACACAGGCGCGTCTTACTCCCGAGGAAACCCGCAAGGCTCCTGTTATTACCTTACGCTGGCAATTCTTCGCCACAAGTGAGCTGCGGCGAGCAGGATACAAACCCCCATAGGGTGGGAATTTTTTAAAAAATACTGCAAGGGGAATACCAGCAGCAACTCGTTCCGCTTTCCCAGTGTAGGAGTCCCCCTCCCTCCCGCTAATCCAGGGGACTACTACTACTACTCCTACTCCTAGTCTACTTCTACTTCTATTGCGCTCTATAACTAGCACTAGAGTAACCGACCACACAACTTTTTCCTTCCCCTTCAGGAACTCGGGTCGCTTCTACTCGGGGACGGATCCTGCTCTTTGGGAGCCTGGCGTCTGGTTTAAGGAAAGCAGCCCTTTAAATCCGGGCTGCTTGCTCCTCGCAAAAGCGACGCTTGCACGAGAACTGGAGGAAACCTTCTCTTTTCATTGCGATACTTTCAAGGTGCACCAAGAGAAGCTGCTAAAACTTGGGCTGTCTGTCTGTTTCCTCCCGCCTCCCGTCTTAGCCAGGCAACCAAGGGCGCAAAGCCTAAAAGCCCGCGGCTTCCCCTGTTCTTGGCATGGGACGAGGATCGGGGAAGCAGCTTTTCCACCCACCTTCAAACGGCTCCCTCTCTCGTCCCCTCCTCGCCCCCGATGAAGCACTTCTAAAGAACAAAGACCCCGGCCGATTCCGCTCCAGCCGGACGAACGAACGCGGGCACTGCAGCGAAAAGCAGCCGAAGCAACCGGCCACTCCCCCGCCTCCTGCTCCAGCTGGTGCGAGGCGTTCTGCTTTGCTAGGTCGCCTATGAATGGAGCCGGGGGCGGAGCCCGCGGAGGGATTGGGGGGGGAATTTAAGTCCTCGGCAGAGAGAAAGGAAAGTAGCCCTGGAAAACGAAAAGAGGAATAGCCTGCCTTGTGCCCACGATGTCGTGGGGTTTGTACATCTGCAATTTAGGACATGCTTTGAGAACCATTGCCGCTGGATATGAACCCAGACTAAGGCTGAAATACAGCAATTATTTCCATTGAAGAAACTTCTTCTTTCAAGCTGAAATAGTTGCGAAGGATGCGGGATAAGATTACAGTGGGCGGAAAAAGTCCCTTCAAGGAGTTCGGTGAAAGTACCATTAAGGTGACCCGAAGGTGCTTCTTTTTTTTTTAAAGGCAACTGGACAATCTTGGAGTTTTTTTTTTCCTTTGAAAACGTTTAGCTTCCTAACCAAGAAGCTTCTCCAGTTCTAACTAATTGATGGAGAATGGAAGGATTTATGACTGAAAGAATAATGACTGAAAGAAGACTCTTGCAGGTCATATCTACCAGATCCATCAGATCGGGGAAGCAGGGAATGTTGCCTCACACCCTCTAGGGCAGGGGTGGGCAAACTATGGCCCGAGAGCCACATCCGGCCCGTTGGTCTTTTTAATCCGGCCCGCCGAAGATTGGTACAGAATTAAGGTTTGATGTGAATGATTGAATGATTGCATTCATTTGATTTTGACTTGTAATGACAGGTGGCGCATTAGGCGCAGTGACTTGATTTTGTGGAAATTTTGCAGTTTTTTAAATGTATCGTATCTTGTGCTGACCCGGCCCGTCTGTCAAATTTTAAAAGTCAATGAGGCCCCCGAGCCAAAAAGTTTGCCCACCCCTGCTCTAGGGAGATGGAGCCCAGAAGAAGGGCCTTTCTCTGTGGTAGCCCCCCTCTCTGAAACATCAACCCCCCCCCCCACAATAAATGTACATTCAAGAGATGAGCTAAATGTTTTATGGATTTTTCTAAATAACTTCCAATAAGTTGTCTTCCAGAATCAACATCCAACTCATGTTTCTTCTGCTTGCACACAAATTCCCACTTTTATTGTCATAGCTAGTTATGACATATTAGGTTTGCATTTGGTGGTGTTAGGGGAAAATAATTTTAAGTACAGGTTGTCCTCGACTTAGGACTGCAATTGAGACCAAGCTTTCTATTGTCAAGTGAAAAAATTGTTAAGTGAATTTGTCCCATTTTATGACCTTTCTCGCCACAATTGTTAAGTGAATCATTGCAGCTGATAAGTTAGTAACCCGGTTGTTAAGTGAATCTGGCTTCCCCATTGACTTTGCTTGTCAGAAGATCACAAAAGGGGATCACGTAACCTTGGGACACAGCAATGGTCATAAATATGAACCAGTTGCCAAGCATCTGAATTTTCTTCACATGATCATGGGGATGCCAGAAAGGTAGTAACTGTGAAAAATGGTCGTAAGTCACATTTTTCAGTGCTGTTGTAATTTTGAACAGTGACTAAGTGCATTGTAAATCAAGGAATACCTGTAGTTAATTGAGCCACATTATACCTGAAATTATACACTAAGAAATGACAGAAACATTTGTCCAGAGACAAGATTACTTTGTGGAAAGTTTCCCCAAAGGGAAAGACCTCCCACCCTGTTCATTTCAATGGGGAGGAACAGATGCACAGATTCAATGGTTCACATTCATGCTTAGGACTGAGGTTAACCAGCTCCGAGATTCTGATACATGGCTTATTTAACCGAGTTTATTGAAATGGTCTGTTGCTTTAAGATAGTCCTAGGAAGGATATCAAGGCCTTTGGATAAAATGATGGGATTCTTTATATCAGTTGAATATTCTTGGTTATAACAAAAAGCAAAAGGGAAAAAAAATCACCTTATAACCACTTAGAATTTAAGAAATGTCTTCAAAAGGAGCTGCACTATAACTCCCAGCAATCCCAGCAAATTTGTCCAATGGCATTGGATGCTGGGAGTTATTATAGTTTAGCAATGACTGGCATTTCTTCTGTTTTTAGTCTTAAGAGGCATTATCTGTATAAGTAATTATCTGTAATTAACTTTCACCATTACCATTTAAAAACATTTTTGCATTTACATTGTAATAGTAATTATTTGTTAAATGTTGTCCCAGGACAGCATTTCTTTGTATTCTCTAAGAAAGCAGAATTGTTAAGCTGATACATATAAAGGAATTCTTTTGTTTTTATATATTCAAATATCATTTAAGAATGCCTTAATTCAAGAACAAGGAAACACTTTAATGTTTTAATTTGTGTACAGAAAATCTAAATGATAAAGCAAAAAAATAGCACACCTGAAATTAGCAACAGGATAAACCAAAGAATTGCTACACATCCATCTTTGGTGGAACAGCTGTATTTTAATTATCCCCATAGATGGCATTAGCCCTTCTCTTCCTTGCAAGAGATGACAGGTGCCAATTTCTTTTTTTAAGGAAAGCATGATTTCAACAGGCTTTTCCCTCGAGCAGATAAGGAGCTGGAAATATGAGCAACCAGAGATGAAGAGAGTAGCTGCATCCACAGAATGTTGGAAATCTCAAGCAACTAGTGAAGAAGGCTAAAAAGAGAGACAGAGCTCAGAAGTTAAATAAAAAATCCAGTTAAGAAACATTTACAAATTTGTCTCCCATTGATATTACTGACAGTTAAGCCAATACACAGATCAATCAGTATAGCACAGGAGTGTCAAACTCACATAGTCACAGTGTTGTCACATGACGTATCAGGACTTTTTTCCCCTTCGGTAAACTGAGGGGGGGGGGCAGGGCCAGCACGTGATCCATCCAGCCCGCAGGCCGTAAGTTTGACACCCCTGGTATAGCAGAATTCTAGAAACGTTATCTATGTAAACGTTTTTATTCCCATACTAAGTTAAGCCATAATGTTGTTTGTGTAGTTCTGTTATAGCATGTTATGAGAATCTAGGCAATTGACTTAGTTAACACACCATGACTAAGCTAAGAATCAGGTAACATACACAGAGTTCCCCATTATGCCATCTGTTGCTCTCAAAGGTGTGTAGAAGATCGTACCAACAATATCTTGGTTTCAGGGGATTTCAGAATGATAGCAATAGTGCTCTGCTTTCTTGTCTTAACTCCTCCCCTCCTTCAAAGGTAAAACAAAGACTCAAAAGGATCCCTCCAAAAAATTGAGAGGCTGAAATGGGTCCCAGTTTCTCAGATATTGCATATGACTAGCTGCAGGGAATGTGTAAACCCAGCACTAAACTTTTATCCCCTTTAAGCAGCACAGATGTAATTACTAATTCTTCCAATAACTATAGAAATGACAAACCTTGAAAAATTGTTTTTCTTAAGTCCAGCAGGAGCCAAAAACAACTAAAAACTGCACAAAATTGTAATATTAGAGCCATATGCAGTGCTTTTTTAAAAAATGGCAACTATGCATGCTCTGGGTCAGGGGTCTCCAACCTTGGCAACTTTAAGACTTGTAAACTTCAACTCCCAGAGTTCCTCAGCCAGCAAGCTGGCTGAGGAACTCTGGGAGTTGAAGTCCACAAGTCTTAAAGTTGCCACGGTTGGAGCCCCCTACTCTGGGTTATATGGTGAGACTATAATCTCTTTAGACAACATTAGCCACCAAGTTCTAGAACTAAATATTGACCAGAACTATTTGCTGAGCATGAGTTAGTAAATCTGACCCAAGTTATAATGGATGAGTGGAAGGTAATCTGTCATTTATGTATAGAATGCAATTTGCGGAGAAAAAGAGATACCCAAGGTCTAATTTTTCCAACCTAGTTAAAAAGGGATCAGGACTGCTCTGCCTTACTTTGCTCAGGGATTTTTCATGTAGCCCTACTTTAATGGCATACATCAGACAGATCCCTTTCTTCTACGGACCTAGTAAAGAGAGAAACATTATTACTCTTATACTACAAGTAGGTCCTTTTACTTACCACAGGTGTATTGTACATCAAATTCTTCTCAGAACAATACTGTCTGCCACATTGGTTTAGTTGCTGTGAAATACAGGCAGACAGGCTTTTCTCTGTTTCTTTTGAACTCAAGTGAGCAGGTCTGCAGCCCAATTTTTCCAACACTGGAGTCAAGTTCATATCAAATTTTAAGGCTTTTCTGCACTTGCTTCGGCTGTTATTTCCACTGGATTCATGTTCAGATTTGAGGTCAGTATTCCCATCAGGATCATCACAGGGTGGCATTTTTATTTCTTTAGTAATGGGAACTTCAACTAAAATATAAATATCAGGATTTTATATCAATACAATGGGGAAAGAAAACAAGCTATAAAGGCCTTTTGGTTAGATACAGAAGGTCTAACAGCTAAACAAGATTTTGTACCTACAGTACATTTTAGATTTTTAAAATGCATAACATGGATATACAAAGCAGACAATTGTTATTTATCAAAGATGGAAATCAAAAACTAAATTAGACTCCTGATCTGTTTTCTAATGCATGAAATCTTTCTTGCTCCAATAATGAGAGGCAATTTCTATAATTGTTTTTAGCATGTTAACATTTGAGTTTAATAACAGTGAAAAATCTGAATAAATATTTCGTGAAGAAGGCAACTTCATAATACTCAATATTGGATAGGGATTGCTAATTAGGATTGATGTTTTGAAGAAGGTTATTTACACATGCTGAGAAGGGCAATCAAGACATTTGCCATTATTCAAGAGGAAATGCTGCTGACTTACCTTTTTCATAAAGTCATTCAAAATGCTTTATAGTTAGATTTGTGCATAAGAAAAACCCATGTGTATATTTTGTATGACACCAATTGAATCTACTAGTTCCCCTATGTGGAAAATTAGCAGCCGTATTTCTTTATATTGTAAAATACTGCATTTGATAACACAGACCAGTAATAGCTCTGGAGTTGTGGTGGAATAGCACCATTCCAAACTTTATATGTTGCAAAAAGGAGTTTTATTCTGATAGCAGCATATGCATTTCCAAGCGATAATATAGTGGGATGATTACTTCATATCCTCAAATAAACTGGTATAAATAAACTCCTATTTTCCCACAACTATCCTGTGAAGTGAGTTGGACTGAGTATGACTAACTGTCACTGAGCTGGCTTTCATGCCTATGAGTTGGACTAGAACTCACTCTCCTAGTTTTCAGCCTAGTGTCTTAATCAGTTAACTAAACTGGCTTGTAACTAAGAGGCACTCAAATGTGCCTCCACTGACAGTTTGGATAGAAAAGTACAATTTTAGTAGCTTTTGTTCTAGAGCAATTAATTAGCCATGGGATCCCAAGAGTCTTAACCTGCATTAACAGGTCTACCAAATGGTGAATCTGTCAATTTACAATATGGCAGCAACTGAAGTTGTGTTTGGACACAGCCTAAAAGCACAACACCCTTCTGTTCAATCAGTTTAACAAACTGCAGTCATCCAAGATCTTTCTTCTTGTGTGATAAATATAGTTAAAAAACACCAACAAATTAAACCTAGTTAAAAGCTAGTACATCAAGCCTATGTAACTCCTATTCCTTTTACATGACCGATCTTGGACATAAACATGCACACACAATCATAACCAGCTGCATAACACCTGGCTATCCTTATTTTGCAACAACCAGAACTTCCTCCAGCTGTCCAACCAAGATGAGCTAATAACAGCAACTAGCTGCCCCTTCTTTCCCATTGCTTTCCTTATAGGGAATTCTTTTCATAACCAGGAACAACCAGCTTTAAAATATTAACTGCTATATGTCGTGAACAACAAAACTTTAAATAAAAAGTCTGGGGGGGGGGGGGGTAAGGTATGGTTAAAAAAATAAAATGAAATCTTGCACACAAAAGCGACTTAATCTGCAGCTCCAAAGAAAAAACACTGCAAATATAGCCTTCACATTTCCACAGTATTTCCTCTGGAGCATAAACCAAGAGTTACTCATCTCAGCTTCCAAAGACTTATGGAAGCCCCTATAGTATCATTAGGATACAGGGAATGGCGTTGACCTTATTTCAGTGCAGTCCCCAACTGGTGGAGAGGCCTGAGTCAGTCTTGATCAGTTCTGCTTAAATGACATAAGAAACCTCTAAATATTTTGGGTTTTATCTACTACATATCTCCATTTTTAAGTGAAGCAGATCCTGTTCAAATAGACATAGTGCTAATTTTTCAGCCATGCTAATATTTGGATATCATGGGATATAAAAAGCAATTTATAATATCTATCCCCATCCTGACAATTCCTAGATACCTTGTGCTACAACCCACATAATTCCTACAAGTCACATTAAATGAAAACTGTAAAAATTGTAGTGCAATATGGCTTACCTTCATTAAGTAGATGTTGAAACCAAAAAATCAGTAAGATCAATAGTATCCCAAAAGGCAAACAAAACCAGAAGAAGAGAAAAGGAAATGTTAGATCATTAATTAAAGGAACTAGGGGATACTTCATTTTTGGTTCAAAATCCAGCTGAACTGTGTGCGTGACTTTAGTTTTTGCTGTGTGACACTAAATACCATTTTGTAACTACCCTCTTTTACTACATCATGACTTGAATCACAAAGCAGCTATGCTATCATTCCAACATAGCTGATATTTTTTTAAAAACCCTGGCTTTAAGCCTATTAAGAGGGAAATGTTACAGATTAGACGATAATTCGAGAAACTGCAGTACACCTTATATCTTGTACTTTAATTTGAAACAGAAAAATAAAGATAAGCAACATTTTTGCCGTAAGGTCATTTTTACAGAACTACTGTATCCCATTTAAATATAAAGGTCATTTAAAAAAAAACCTGCTTAAGCAGCTGAGGTATTTAATAGCATAATCTCTTGTAAGATTTTCCAATAGCTGGATTTATATTTTAAAAAATGCTAACCTAAGGTTTACTGAACCATGGTTTACTGAATTTTCCCAACTGTCTGCGTTTTATAAAATCCATAAAGAAGTACTTAGTAAGAGAACTTAGTAAGTTCCCGTCAGCCCTACTAAAAGAAAATTTGTATTAACATTTATTTAAAGTACAAACGAAGTTTGAATCCCAATAGATCTATAAATACCTCGTGATATTGTTCTTCAGTCTTCCCTAATAAGTTAGCTTTCAAACATGCTGAAAGTCCCATAAACACCAGCTTATACAAATGTATTCGCTAATCAAAAGCAGATCCTATTTCCAACATTAAATTGGGGGGAGGGGTGTATTATATTTTATTCAACGGTTCTCTAGTTCAGGTTGTCGAGTGTTGTTCATTTATATATGCAATTCGAAATCCCGCTATTTCAATAAAGATAAGTTTTTGCACGAATGTGTTCCCACGTGCACCGACCCAGCAAAGTAGCAAACCAATCCTAAAATGTTTTTTCTTAACCTCAGGAACTTTAACATGCTGCTTGGGGGGAATTCTGGGAATTGAAATCCACATATCGAGCTTGGGGTTGAGAAACTCTTCTAAAAAAAACGGAAGCGGAGCCGGCGATGCGCGCGGGTTTAATACTGGTCTCCATGGTGATTTGTCTCGGGAGCGGAACACTCCTTTAGAAGCCTTTGTTTCGATTCGGAGAAAATACGGGGAGGGACCTGACGGACGGCAAGCTTTTCTTCGCGCCATGGAGGCAGTCGGAGGGGTATTCCCGTTCCGCGACGTCCGCTGGGACCCGGACCCGATGCTGGAAGCTCACCCGGCGGTGCGGATGCCGGTTCCGGTTCCTCTGGTACTGGATAACGGTTCGTTCCAGCTGCGTTTGGGCTGGGCCTGCCCGCAAGCTGCGGTGCCTGGCGAGCCCTTGCTCCAATTCCGCTCCTTAGTTGCTCGAAGCCGTGGTGCTCGCGGCGGCGCTGGCCCGGAAACCCAGGTGGGTAACGATGTGGGCAGCCCCGAGCCCCTCCGATGGCTCCTCCGCTCGCCTTTTGACCGCAACGTGCCCGTTCAGATGGAGTTGCAGGAGCAGCTCTTTGATCACGGCTTCCAGCGCCTGGGCGTCTCCTCGCAGGTAAGGAAGGCAGACGTTTGTGTGCCTGTTGGGTATTATTGGATCTTCAGCCGCGACAGATGAAAAGGTTTCAGCCGGTTTGGACTCCCGGCTCAGTTGTTATAGGGCAAGGAGGTCCAAACTTAGCCACTTTAAGACTTGTGGACTTCAACTTCCAGAATTCCCCAGCCAGGCTGGCTGGGGAATTCTGGGAGTTGAAGTCCATATGTGTTAAAGTGGCCAGGTTTGAAGACCCCTGTTATAATGCTAACAGCAACCGCTGGCTTAAATTTGCCAGGATGTAAAGGAAATGGATTCAGTGGTGACATTTGCACCAAAGGCTTCTCGGATTCAACAAAATTTTCTGCGTAGGGACCAAACATTGCCTCCTTAACATCATTCAGTAGAATTCATACCGCAGTGCCTATAAGTCCAGTAAGCTGGAACACATAAATTAGTGGCTTGGATTAGATCGATAAATATCCTGAAACAAAACAAATCCAGTGTTCTTCCAAACACATTGGGAGAAGGTACCCTAATGTAAGACTTTCTTCAGGAGTATGGAATGTGTAGATAACAAAAGCAGAAATATAGAAGTGGGCTCAGCCCTACAGATATGAAGAACTAGAGTGCATTAGGTATGTTCTCCACCTTGTATTATATACTGGTATATTTTTAAAAAAGCATAATTATCTTATAAATGTATGGAGCATCTTTTGCATATTTGGCGCACATATAACATTACATTTACAAGGATTAAATGAAAAATAATGCCCCCATCTCCAAAATTTCAATTTAAATAGGACATTTTAATAAATAAGGGAAAATAATTCTTGAAATGAGCTGATTTAGTTTAGTAGTTAATGCACCAGGCTAAGAAGTGGGAGACCATGAATTCAAGTCCTGCCTTAGCTTATGAAAGTCATTTGGGTAATTTTGGGTCAATCACTTCTTGTGGATAAAATAGGAGGAGGAAAGTGTTGGATATGTTTACTGTTTTTAGATATTTGTAAAAATAATAAAGGTGAGATACAAATACATAAATAATAAATTAACTCTTTTGTAACCTGCATATACTTTTCCACATAACCACCACCATTCGTTAGGCACTTTGGGGAACAATGGACAAACTTCTTAAAGCTGTTATTGAAGAACTTCACACTAATCCTGACAGTTCTTTTCTATCTCTTCATTTGAGTCAGACACCCGTGAGATATTATTCCTTCCCTTTTTATAAAAAGGTGGAAGTTGCATGGCACCAAATCTGGACTGGTGAATTGTATTAAACAGGAAGATCAACTTTACAATTATTATTCCTATCTTTTGTATAGTTGGTCAACTCAAGCAGCAAACATACCCTAACATCCCTGCCTTCTATTTCCTCACAACAACCCTGTGGGGTAGATTGGGATGAGAAAGTGTGATTGGCTCAAAGTCTCCTAGATTCTAGGCCAGCACCTTAACCATCAATACATGGCTCTTGAGTGGTTTTTGGGGTGTGAGACTTGACATTGACATAATTTCTTATGCTTCTGAATTGTTGTTTTGTAAGTGTTGCAATGTAGCACTCCAAGTTAATAGTGGTGCCAGCTTCATCATGTGCTTAATACCATCTATATTCCAAACACCTGTACCTGACTTTTCCTGCTGCAATCTGGATTTTGTTTTGTTTTTTCCTCAAATAAACTTTATGATGATTTTCCAGAAACTGACACTTTATTTCTGGTCATAACAATAGGCTCATGTTGTAACAGCACAGGTGTTACAGTGCTGTGAAGAAATTCCTTACCTTTATTTTCATAACATGACAACTGTTGACAGCTGTTGAAGGTTTTATCTATGCTGTCAGCATGTAAAAAACCCTCTTGCATGAACTTTCTGTTATTGAAAAATGTCAAGAATGTGACACACGTTTCTGGAAAATGCCAAACTTGACAACAATTTGGGTGATTCATTGGCTGCCCTTAATTATTTCATCAACTTTTCTCATTTATAACAGGATGATTGGTGCCACAGATTGTCCACTTTATTTTTGGTCACATAAACCAGCTCTTCACCATCTTTACATGTTATTGTTCCAGTGATACATAGTACTGATGCTAACATTTAGTACCATAAACAACCTGCATTCATGTTGAACTTCATTTGGAGGGACTCCATCAGCAGTCAAAAATTGAATCACTGCTTAAAGTGCAGTGATTATTTCTGTCTCATGAACAACAGCAATACAGTCTTTTCTCACACTTCCCCCCAACTAAAATGAAAGGAGAAATGCTAAAGGATGTGTCAGAGCTTCTAGTACACCATTGTGGCCATCTGTTGGCAACATATAACACTGGAGTCATTTGTTTTCATTCATCCCTTGTCTTACAACACTGGTCTGCAAGAATAAGGTAAATCATTATGGTGTCAAATGCTTGGAATTGTTTGCCACACTAGAATGGGTAACCCTGGCATCACTATTAATTTGTATTTTAAAAAATGGGGCGGGGGGGGGAGTATTTTGTGCCTAAGAGAAGGGAGAAGGAATGATACCACAAATTACATGGAAGATGCCGGATTGTCAATCTTTGGTGTTTGACACGTCCAAATCATAAAAAGGCTTTTTCCCTTTTGGTATATATTTAATATTTTTACAGAGAACTCAAGTGCATATTGTTATCCTAGTACCTGAACTCTGAAATCCATATTACTTTGTAAAAAATAAAAGTAATACCTGAGCCTTGGGCAAAGAATGTGCTCTCAAAGAGTTGGAATGAGTTTAGAATTATATTATGCATGAATTTCCCCTGGTGATTAAATTAATGGAAACATGCAAATACCAAGTCTGCAAAAATGCTTTCTACATGGCTAATCTGTAGAATAAATTAGCCAGTCCAGTTCCTTTATAGGAAAAAGTTCAATTATGAAACATTGCTATTTCCAAGAAAGAGTACATTATCCAAGTATCAGAACAGCATAATTCTTGTTTTGTAAGTGTTGTACATATAACTGGCACTTAAGCTTTTTTGGTGAATCGTGAAAATCTGTGGTATGCAGATTACGCTTCTAAAAAAATCCTTCCGTATTCATTATGCACATATACACATTTTCGTTTGCATATCTGTGGAAGAACACATAAGTAATACTGATCAAAAATACCATGTGTTGGGGGTTATGTCCTTAGATGTAAAATTAAATTTTTAAGTGCTGTATTTGTAGGAATTTGTAATAAATATCAGTGACCTCAACATTGTGATATATGCATCATAAAATTTGATGTCTCATGTCATTTGATGAAGTTACAATCATTTCATCTCCCTTCACTGTCCCTATGTATGAGCATTACATTGATCTTCTTAAACTGTCTTGTTGAGGATTCCCAGATTATTACTTCTTGTTTTATTTTTGTTTTAGGGCTGTGTTGACCATCCAATTGTGATAACAGAGGCTGTTTGCAACCCTCTCTATTCAAGGCAAATGATGTCAGAGCTCCTGTTTGAATGTTACCAGGTTCCAAAGGTTTCTTATGGTGTGGACAGCTTGTACAGTTTCTATCATAACAAAAGGCAAGGCTGGCCTTGCAGTGGTCTCATCGTTTCTTCTGGATACCAGTGTACTCATATTTTACCAGTCTTAGATGGCAGGTGAGTTATTTCCTGTTTACCAATAGAATGTAATTTTTCATAAATTACTGAATAATTACCCTTTTTTGTGGTGTGTACAATTTAAACTTCTGACCTAGGTTTGGGGAAGTAGGTGCCTTGATAAATAACTTGGACAGAAGCCTGACTCTGTCCTCCTGAATTCTTTCACTGATTTTTGATAGAATTAGTTAAGATGCTTTCCATTACTATATTCTTCATTGGGAATTGGGTGCACATATTTGAGTGTGAGATCAGTTCTTTTTTTAATTATTTTTATTGTTCTTTTTCAGCTTTAACACATTATTAATCTTAACTTTAACAGTATTGTGTCATCATTATTATACAAATTATTCTACACATCTCGTACAAATATCTGCATTGATACATCTTTACATACAATCATTTACTTGTATGTATAATTTTCTTATTACCTTTATCTTTATTTCTATTATTCAGCCAATTATACCAATTATCCCAAATTTCATAATACTCCGACTCTTCTTTCTCCTTAAGTTTTAATGTCAATTTGTCCATTTCAGCACAGTCTAGTATATTTTCAATTATTAATTCCTCACTAGGCAAATTATTTTGTTTCCAACATTGTGCGTATATTATTCTTGAAGCTGTCAGAATGTGTATATTCCCTATGAGATCAGTTCTATAGGAAGTGTGGAAGGCTGTGTTTTGGGAATCTTTACCTTAGTTCGTCTGTGCCAGATTTTGAGAGATGTATACGTTTTGTCTTTTTTATATATATACTTCCTTTTTAATATCTACATCAAAGAACTGCAACTTTTTCTCTTCGCTACACCATATATATGGTATCAGTGTTCCAAGTAATGCACCCATTGAAAGTGGAACTCTGAGGCAGGTTGATTCCTCTAAGAACATGTTTATTGGATACATCATATTGGCATAGCAGGTGAAAACCAACTCTGAGAGTTCCCGCGGTTTTCACCTAATTAAAAGAGTAAAACTTCCCTCCTTCCAGGTGTCCAATGAATACAGCTGGTAGACTCCTCTCTTCCTTCACCAGCCACCTGTTACAATTACCTTGGTTCCCACAGGAAAACTTTATTTTTACTGTAAGCTGGGCTATCTACTTCCCCCTTCCCCTTCTTTCTCTAGCTTCGTGGCAACTGTGAGGCAGCACAGATGGCTTCACCTAGATTCACTTCACCTAGATTTGCTTCACCTAGATTTGCTTCACCTAGATTTGCTTCACCTAGATTCGCTATAAGGTGACCAACTTTTTTACAATGAGAAGGAGGACACAAATAAATTCAAGGAAAAAAACACTCTCTCAAAACAATTCTCCTGTGTGGAGCGCATGCGTCTCATAATCACGTCTCGCTGCACTGTACCAAGTCTTGACAAATCGTCATGTCAAATACAAATACGTCACATCACACACAATGGATCGGATCGGCATCGATCAAATAAAGAGATTTACTTCAAATCAGGAGATTTATTTCAAATATCAAAAAGGAGGACATGTAGAAGGACACTTTTCGAGAGAGGACAGAACTTAACAAAAGAAGGACTGTCCTCCCTAAAGGAGGACGGTTGGTCACCTTAATATATAGTCACTCTGAGTTGAGACGGGCTGCAAACAAATTTAATAAATTAAAATAAATATATATTGATGTCCACTCTCTAAAAGTGATGCTGGGAATGCTGGGTTTTTTTTTTGAAAGGGAACTTCAGGAGTTAAGTAAAATGTGTACTGTAATAGTGTGCAAGCTCTAAGTCATCCAAATTACTCTAGTGCTGCTTAAAATTCCACAAATTCTCCAAATAAAAAAAGAACAAAAGTCCAGCATGTTTTATGTTGGAAACTGGGGGCAGGAATTTGATCCCAGAAGTATACTGATGGGTGACATAATTGTCCTTGGACAATTGTTGTTATTCCCCAATGTACATGATCCTATTAACATAAATTAGAAGAATCTGTTGACAAGTTGGCACAATGTCGTTTCTTTTTCTTTTTCATCTCATTTGAAGGAAGTAATGGAAAAACCCTTGACAGGCCTATGTGGGCAATTTAGATTTAATGAGAAACGAGCAACCTTAAATATGCACCAGACAGGATTGAAATCTGCATGTTAGAGGATGTTCTTATCTCAATAGAAGTATATAACTAAAGGGCCAGTTTAATTATTTGGAGCTCTCTTGTAATTAGTGACTTTATTTGCAACATATTCCGCTAAACATTATAATAGTTTCTATGGTTTTGCCTTGGTGTGTTGTATAATGTAGCCATTGAAGTTTATTGAACTTTTATTGAATACTAATTGAATAATTATTATTGAATTTTTATTGAATAAATGTATCCACTGAAGTTTATTGAACAAACTGTTTAGAGTACAACCACTATTTACATATAATTTTGGAGATTAGCAATGTCTTTGTTTAAATAATACTTTGCTTATTTAGTTAGTTTGTATGTTTATGATGTTCAAACTTGATTTTAATAATCTATTGTGCTAAAAATCTCAGATGGTACAAAATATGGTAGTTAAAAATACTTAGAAAATAATTTTCATTCTTCAGTTCTATATCACTTACACTGGCTACTTATCATTTTTCTGACTCACCCAATTTAATGCCCTGCCAGAGAGTGAGAACCAAATAAATCCTTTTTCTTAGTTGTCTTAAATCTCTTATGTAGCCTTTGGAAGTGGATTAAATGTGTTTTTCTTCTATTCAATTGGATTCTCTCTCTTGAATAATATTTATTTTAAGCATAATTTACTCTTTTGTGAATTGGGATATTTTAACTATTTTAATTATTTCTGTATACACAAATAATGAAGATTTCTTAAGATTTTCCACTACATGTGTGAAAACTAATATTGATGATAATATTGACTGTGGACATGACATAAATGGCTACTTGAAAAGTCTTTAGAACTTGGGTTCTGATAGAGAGAATGAAATTGTTCTGTACAGCCTAATTTTTCCTCCATTTTTATGAATTGTTAGGTTAGATGCACGAAACTGTAAGCGAATAAATCTTGGAGGAGGCCAAGCGGCCCTTTATCTCCAGCGTCTCCTGCAATTGAAATATCCAGGGCATTTTGGTGCCATCACGCTTAGCCGTGTGGAAGAAATACTCCATGAGCACAGCTATATCGCGGAAGATTATAAAGAAGGTAAGGCATTGCTGTCAAAAGTTATCACGCAGCTTTATTTCCTTTGTGTCATCTGATTTTTAAAATTTTTAAAAATAGAGTCAATTTTGTTAGGGATATACACCCTAGCAGAACATGCAACGGCAGTCTAGCAGGCAGGCAGATATGTGAAACAAAACATTGTAGTAGCTTACACTCAGTAAGACAGATACACTGTGCAAGTTAAATAGTTTTTATTCCAGCAAGAGTTATAGCATAGCCAAACAGTCCATATGTCATACACTAAGTTCAGTCAGTCCGGGGTTATTCAGTTTTCAAAGTCCAGTGTCGAAAAAGAGTTCATTAAACTTACAATCAATCAGTCCAGTGATATATCTCTTTTGCAGTCAGAGATATGAAGAAATAATCAAACCCCTTTTCTTTTCTCAGCAAACACGCAGTTATCACCATCAATCCATCATTGTCAGCAATCCAGTAAAAGCCAGCAAACAGTGAGCTCTCTTGCTCCCTCTTATGGTGATTTTACAACCGCACCCAAAATACTTGGTTTACAGTTTAAAGTGATACATACACTTAAACTCACTAACATAGTTTATATATTATTTTACCCAAACTAAGTTAGGTAACCATGTTATCCCTAACAAATTTTATATTACTAAAGAGATAGGAAATTATCTAAAATTGCTTTGACCTGGTTTGCAAATCTGAATAAGGCATTAGAACATATGTAATTATTACAGCATCCAAAACTACATTATTTTAGTTTAGGTCTAACAAACAATAGTTTGTTAGAACTAAATAGTAGCACTAGTTTTTCACAAAAAGCCAATATCCTCTTAATAAAAAGAAGATAGAAATGTGTTGTAGCCAGGAGTCTCCTGAACTTACTGGGAGAACACAGTTGGTTTTGGTTGGAGTTAGCATGCTGTTAAATCAGCCACAGTGGCTTATTCGAAAAAACACAGCTAAATAAATGATGTCTTAATATAAATGCAGCCAGTGTATTTTCAGTGAACAGGATGAAATAACCACAGCCTTATCTAAAGAACACAAATCCTTTAATATGCTTTGATTTCATATATCTGGAATTATTGGAACAAACTCTGTGTATGGTTCTTCAATCCAGGAAGTTCAGCAAACAGGGTGTAGCAGCTAAATACATATTCTTGGTTAAATCAACAAATATGTTTAGAGTGAACAGAGAGATGATAAATGAGTTCACTGAAAAATTCTGTTTGCACTGTAAAAATAGACACCAATATAGCGCATGTTTGTCTATGTTATTGAGATTTTATACTTTAAGAATAAGCACAAAACCAAATGATTAATATAGTAATATAGGGATTGGGTAGATTGCTTCATTTTTTATATTTTTGTTTAACTTACTGTATATCATGATTTGATATATTCTCTTATATTGTAAAATGTACAATATGAAAAATTGTAAAACAACAAAATTACAGAAATTTGTTGAAAACTGTGGAATTTAAGCTGAGTTTAATTAATTTTAAATGTTGATTTTGGTGAACGTACTGTAATTATGCTACCAATTGGATATAAGATACCTTGCCCACACTAAAATCCATTTGAACTCTATTTTTGACTTTCTTGGAAAGCTGTTAAAATATGGCAGTTCTGACAAGTCCCTAGAAATCAACTGCTACACTTTTCTGTCATCGGTTTAGCAGCATGTTTTAAAATTTGAATTGCTATTTTATCAGTGTCATGCTGTTTATTTATGATGTCAGTCATCTATGGTTTAGGTTTGTGAACTGCCCAGAAATGTGCAACTACATCAGTAATAAAATAAAGCACAGTGGGCTTCAGATCCATATTTAATTCCCTTGAAATCAACAGAAGAACCAAATTATAATCTGTTTATTTGAGATCTAAGAAGAACCAGATAGTTAGATCCTAAACTGTTGAAGCTGAATATATCATGCAATCTGACTCAATAGTTGGCTTTATAAAGGCCATTTTATAAAGAGAATGAGAAGAGTTGCTTCCCCAATTTTTATCATACTGATTGTTTAAGTTTCATTAATGCATGCTGTTTGCCTTTTCTGGTCTCTTGGTTTGCACTGGAATTTTCTCAGAAAATATTACTTTTCCTTGCAGTTTCTGTTCTCTAATTTCTGTTTTCTGGCATCAGATAAATACAGTTTCTTGTTTTTCTTTGCTCATATAGATTAGTGCAATAACATAAAAGTGATGTAGGTTTTCTCACAGGCTTTTTGTTGATTAAATATCGGGTAGACATTAATTCTCTCTCTCCTGTCACCCTCACCCCCCACAAAAAATATCCTACATTGCTTTTTCTTAATTTCTCAGGGCATTCGAATAGGAGTTTATTGAGCAAAAATTATTACTATGATTTTTTCTGAGCAAAAATCATTACTGTGATTTGAACAGAGATGCAAAAGTGGCGATCACCTGAATACTATGAGAACAATGTGCATAAGATGCAGTTGCCTTTTTCAAATAAGCTCCTCGGGAGTACTATCACGTCTGAGGAGAAGCAAGAGCGACGGCAGCAACAACTTCGACGGCTTCAGGAACTTAATGCTCGCCGTCGAGAAGAAAAGCTTCAGCTAGATCAGGAGAGACTGGAGAGGCTTCTTTATGTTCAGGTAACTTCATGCACTGCTGGAGTTGTAGTTTTAGTTTGGAGGAAGTGAAAAATAAGCTGAGGGAGGATTATTCTTGGAATTGTATTCTCAGTGAAATATTTGTTCTCAGAGGGTCATTTTCATATTTCAGTGAAGGAATTAAAGATGTTAATCAATTGCCAGCAAATAACAAGTCACTTATTTAAGAATCGATTTGCTTCTCTTTTCCAAACAGCAGGTGCAATTTTCTGCAGGAATTCCCTTAGTTATAATAGAAAATAGACAGTGAAGGCTAGTGATTTGTAGCAGGTTAACAATAAAAATAGATTCTTTTTAATGCTTTCTTTTGTAGGAATTGCTAGAAGATGGTCAGGTGGATCAGTTTCACAAAGCTTTGGTGGAACTGAACATGGACTCCGCTGAGGAACTGCAGTCTTATATCCACAAGCTAAGTTTGGCCATTGAGCAAACTAAGCAGAAAATCCTCCAGGCAGAAGTTAGTGTTGAAGTGGATGTTGTGGACAGCAAGCCAGAGGTATTATTAACAGGAATCAATATTTGGGAAACAGTTTCAAGATTTCATTCTCTTGGTTGTACTGCAACTTCACACAAGTGTACACATTTCTCTCTCCTATTTTGTTTTGCTATCTTTAATTCTGTCCTTAAATCATTTTCAGCATGACAAGATGATGATACTCAATAACATTTTTCTGAAAAACAAATGTATTCTGGTAGGCTTAGAGACTTTGGGGGTAGGGGGAGTTCTGAGGAAATTGTAAAGGGGGAAATGTCTCTTTGTCTAAGCATTCTTGAGAAACACTGATTTATTCACAGATTAAATAATGTATATTTTAGGCCAAAGGGTCAGAAGATAAAGCCTGTTTAAGTTGGAAGTGTGACAAGTTTCTCTTTTTACTATTGTTCCCCAACCACTCATGTTTCACTATCAGAAAAAGCTCTAGATACTGAAACAGGTGCATATTAGAACGTTATAGTAATGATTGAGGAAATGGGAACAAAATAGGTACATATACGCTCCACTAGTTCTGAGATATTTAGTTCAATAAGTATACTTAGCAGAATTGCCATCACTGAACCTTATAAAATGATCTGTATGTACAAGGATTCTTGCTAGATTTAGAATCATGCAATTGTTACAACTATTGTGCCAAATTATGGCAAAAGGAGTAGAAAAAAGCAGGAAGTGACCATGAACATAAATGTATGTGGATATTCATGGGTAGCTAACAGCTTTGCATGCTTCATTGTGAGCCTTTATTTTTCATAGCAGCTAAATTCCTTTTTTATTAATTGCTATATAGATTTGTTTCCTTGAACATTTTTCTTACATGCTTTTTACACATCTTTGGGGGGAAAAGAGTTACAATCTGAAGATAATTACATCTTTCAAGAAATATGTTTTAGTGCATGCATTTTGCTTACATACAAAGGAATGTTTAATATCTATATGTAATTTTTTATTTTAAGCTGTGAGGATTATTATTGTCATATTTGCCACCTTTAAAAGTAGTATAGTTGGAGTGCAATTTTAAAAGTATATTCTTGGAATGTAATTCTCCACCCCAATGTTGCATAATACCTCTGAATAGCCAACCATAGATTTAAAACCTAATCTGGTAATTAATTTTTACTTGATGATACCTTTAATCACTATGTATGTGAACTTATACATGTTATTTCAATTTATCAGTTGTCCTTTGGAATGATAACTTCCACAGTCACTCTATGAGAGAAATGGTTAGTTTTTAAATATGATATATAAATAAAATAAAAACTAACTGTAGTTGCTGAAATTATCAGTTTTCTCAAATTTGAATCTTTGCCAAATAATGTTTATTTACCAAAGTTGAGTTAACAGGAATGAGCATGAAATATTTGTTGAGCTTGCTGGTGAGTTTCAAAATATGACAAGCTTGAGGCATCTTGAAAATTAGGCTAATCCTATTAGAGACTGCTTAAAATGAAATGACCACAGTTTGGAACAGAGGTATATTGCTAGAACATCAAACTTGTTCACTTAAAATAATTGGAAATCTGAAAAACTGCTGTCAAAGGGTTTAGTGTGAACTTCATTCTGAAGAAAATAAGATTTACCTAATTTGGAAGTTTAAGAACATTTGTCTCTCTTCAAAAAAAAAAAAAAAAAGCATTGGTTTGGTTAATTGGTTATAACACCTTTCAAAAAATAACATATTCATCCTATCTTATGTGTTTTGTTTTTCTTGGAATAACTTTTTTTCTTCCAAGATTCCTGAGCTTGATCCATTGGGCAGTGAACAATCCATGGAAGATGTAGAAAGTATTAATGATTTTGAGCCTTTATTTGCTGAGGAGCAACCTGAAGTTGAAAAACCAGTTACTACAGTACAGGTTTGTTTTTAAGTAGACACAATCTCAATTTCAGATAAATGTTTGCTTGTTTGCATTCTGAACCCAGTCAGTTAGGTTGGAAGAGATGGCTGGCATATAAGTTGAAGAGAGAGAGAAATGGGGAGGGGGGAGGAAGGAAGGATAATGTTGGATAGCTTTTTTCTTCATAGTAAAGTTGGAACTGTCATAATCTAAAATTGTATAATTGACAAACTGAGATTGTGTTTGGTAAGAAATGCTTCCTGGCTTTCTAAATCCTATTGATACAAAACTGAAATTTCAGTTCTGTGTGCTGAAAATAAATTTTATTAAACTCTGAAATTTTCTTCAAATACACCTCTATATGATCCATCTAAAAGAAGTTCTAGGTCAACCATTCTGGGAAATAAAGAGAACATTGCAAGATCACAAACAGTGTGCCTATTCTGTTAAAAGTTTGGTGTTGTGGTTAAGGTGCTTTTCTGGAAAGCAGAAAATGTGAATTCTAGGCCTTCCTTAGGCATGAAAGCCAGGTGGGTGACTTTAGGGAAAAAACGAGGCAGGAGAATAGGTATGCTTGCCAGCTTGAGTTATATATAAAAAGGCAGAATAAAAATCTAATAATGGCAATAATAAAAATAATTGCCGGTCATGGCTAAATAGGCTATATGCAACTACTGAATCTCATATTTAGAGATACCATAGCCAATTCTGATTGCTGCGTCTGAAAAATCACTGCCATAGTTTCCTGCTCTTTGAAATTGGTACACTCAAAATCTATATTATAAGCTTTCACATAAACCTATCAGTGATTTAAAAAAAGGCACCACAAACCACCTTCAGACTATCCTTGTTCATGTTACATCCCATCCACTGTGATATTTGGCAATCTTAAAAGCTAAGGGCATCTTCTGACCTTCGTCTGGCCTTATTTCTGGCTCTCTCTCTATATATATAGAGCATCACAGTGTGTACACACTTGCACACACACACACACACACACACACACACACACACACACACACAGAGAGAGAGCAGTTAGAGTTTTGAAAAACTTCTGCCAGTGGAAGTTTTTAAAAGGCTAACTACATTGGAAGAGTGGTTTTCCGTAGCTAACAGTTTAGTCACAGTTTAGCTCTCAATATGTAGAAAGACCAAACAGCTTGAAATCTCTCCAATCTCTGCTGTGGCAGGGATGAGGTAGGGGGAAGGGATAAGCAGAAGTGTTACCTCAATCACATTTATTTTTTTTAAAGCAATTCATCTGCTGCTGCTGCTGTTGTTGTAAGCTACTTGTATGCAATTGAAATCAGAGCTGGAAGTATCAGGGCAGCCATGCCTTCTATAACTAGATTTAAACATGTTGGCTATGTTATGATATTGTGGATTAATATTTTTGGATCCTGGTTGACGAACATGGAAGACAAAGGGAATTTCCTGTAATAATTTAACCAAAAACAACTGAAATGCAGAGGTGTTTGATGTGAAGGAAGTACTGGAAAACATCCTAGTTACGTATGTGTATTCCTGCCAAAGGGAAAAGTGTCAAAATGTCAGGAAGTAGAAGCAGATATTATGAGGAAAAGAAAGCAATTCAGTGAGAAATTAGTATTATTTCTTTGTTATTTCAGTACTAATATAAATATTGTAATACTGTTATGATGCATGATTTTATTATTTTTCTTGTTCTGTTAAAAAAATAACAATTTTGTAGGAAAAAGAAGAAAGTATCGTGCATGATCTGTTTCAGTTTCCTCTGCCCTTTTTTAATCTTTATTTCTGGAGGGAGAAGGGATCTGTCAGACAAGGAAAGACACCTGAAGGAAAATAGAGAGCAACCATAACAAGTGAATCGTTTAATTTCTTGTTTCTGGGATAGGTTGGGTCTATTCTCCTCATAGGCCTTGGCCCTTCAGCAGTCTTGTTGTGATTTTTTCTGTCTGAGTAGAATCGCCTTCATTTTGCTTTTTTTAACTGCAATACTTTTAGGTCACAGCATTGCTGTTTGCATTTTACCATTTTTAGCCGTGGATATCACGAGGCAAATGGGTTGTTCAGTTTCAGTTGAAGGGGCACAAATGTGTGTAACAGTCAGAAATTCATTAGGTGTAACTCTGTCTTGAATATTGCACTGGCAGTAGCATTATTAGGTACAGTATTTTTCCTGCATGTCATCCTTACGGCTGAGGATTTCAAAGGCTGCAATTCTATTTTTTTAAATGCTGTGTAAAACTCACAGTGAATTTCTGTTTGTCACTCAGCTGTTAGCTTCTAGATGGCAAAACATAGAAGATTTCAGCTATGAAAATTTCCACTTAGACTGGTAAGCAAGGGAGAAACTAAAATCATGCAATACTAATTCTAACAATATAGATTGAAATTGCCTTTTCGCAACTTACTGTTCTTCAAATGCACTGGATTCACTTTATTTCCAGCCAGAACAATGAGGGCGGAAAAAGGAACACAGCATGTGGAGGAAATACAAAAAGAAGTGAATGCAGGCCTGGCTTTTCATAACATCCCAAATGACTAGGTAGAAGGCCACAGAAGGGGACAGTTCTTGTAGGGAAGCCAAGCAGCTCGGTCCAGTGCAGTGGATTGTGTTTTCTCAAATCTCCCTTTTTTGCCATCGGGTGGAATGGCTATGAACAAGCTGCACACAAGTGCACAAAATCTGACACAAGTGAGGGAAGGAGATAAAATACACTGGAACTTGACCAATCCAAATTTTAACTCTGATAAAGTACTTTGAGAAGAGACAGTATATTCTAAAGCAGGGTTGCTTAGATCTGGCCCACGGGACTGGCCTGGAAATAGTAAAGAACCAGCCCACTGTGCCTCTGCCAGTGAAAACTGAATTCAGGGAGGATGGGGCACAAGCAGCCCTCCTGGGCTTTATTTTCACCTGCAGAGGGCTATCAAAACTAACTGAAACAAAACAAAAGGATAGATGTTTTCTCTTTTGCACTTGAGCATGCAAGAAGGGACAGGAAAGGAGAAAGGGAAAAAAACAAAGAAAAAGAAGGAAAGGAACAAGGAAGGTAAAATAAGGAAAGAGGGGAAGGAAAAAGAATGAAGAGGGAAGGAAAAAGGAAGGAAGGAAGATTATAATGAGAGTGAGGGAAGGTCTCAGGGAAGTCCTGCCTTAGCACTTGGCCACCACAGTTGCCCCCGACACAAGTGACATCGAGCTGGCCATGCCCACCATGGCCACACCCACCTACCCGCCAAGATCAAACACAACCCTGATGCAGCTCTCAATGAAATCAAGTTTGACACCCCTGTTCTAAAGCATTGCTCTCCTGAATATTCATGTTTTTATAGCCCGTGTTTAATCTGGCAGAATATCATCAGCTCTTTCTTGGCACAGAGAGAATCCGAGTTCCTGAAATTGTCTTTCAGCCATCCCTAATAGGAGAAGAACAGGCTGGGCTTGCAGAAACCATGCAGTTCGTCCTGGACAGGTAAAATTACAGACTTCCTGAATTCCTAACTTAAATAGATGCACTTAAGAATATGTTCTCAGTGATCAGAGAAAGTTGCTTTGGATGATGCAGTGAGTTAACATGAAGTCAACTAGCTTTGGCTCAATTTGTTGTGCAAACCCTGGCAATTGCATTCATTCAATAAATCATGGTTCCATTAATCATGGATTATAAATTAGGTAAATAAGTAGGTTTTTTTTTACTTATTTGTTTTCAGAATAGCCTTCGCAGTATTTTTTAAAGAAGAGAAGATGGTTTGCATTTGCAGGTTCTGAGAAAGCCAAGTTACACATTTAGCAAAGCATTGTATGATATGCTTTGTAAACTGAACAAACATGGGGCACATTGCCAAGGAAATATGTAAGAGTGATATAGAATGATATACTTGACACCTTCAGTGACACTCTGCTCTCATGTAACTTTAGAAAATACTGTTCAGTGTTTCGCTGTCATAGCAATTGTGTTTAGAAGTCATGTTGGACTGGATTAATGCTACATGAAAAAATGAGACCACAATCTCAGGCACACAGTTCTTTCAAGTAAGGAAAGCAGAAGAAGAATGGGAAAAAGTTTGAAACCTGAAGTTCGCTATAACCATTTATAATTATTATTTGCCATTATAGCTGATGAAGAAGAAAGAAATTACTTTAGAGAAGCTTTTATCATCTGGGAAGATTTTATAAATCAGGAAAAAAGTAAATAAAAAAAATCAAATTTTGATTTAAAAAAATACTTGTAGGGCTAGAATTGAGAAGCAATCTTTATAGCAAACATGGGATAAAGTATGCCTTTTTCCTGGGATCCTGCAGTTGCTGCAGAGAACAGCCACAAGGATCCTAAGATCTGATTATTTCAAGGAGGTGCAATGAGTGCCATGTTGCACCCTTACATGCTCTTTAGTGTCTTTTTTTATCTTCGAATTCTTAAGCATTGCACTTCACAGCTTGATACTCTGGAAATCTTTGAAGTTTAAGCCAATCTGGGTGCCCTTTTCTTTCTGAATTTTCAGCAATAATCACATGGGCTTCGTATAAATGTCTGAAAAACCTAGGTTATGGAGGGTGGTTTAGCTTTTAGAGATAGGTACCATAGGTAATGCTTCAGGGGAAGGGGAATATGTAAGCTATTGCTTACATACTGGAAGATTCCTGTGTCATTGTCAGACAAAAAAGAGCCTTAAATGTTTTTAATAATAGAGTTGGTTTTTACTTGGTTTCTTTTTAGATATTCAAAAGATCAGCAGGAAAAGCTTGTCCAGAATGTCTTCCTCACTGGTGGAAATGTGATGTATCCTGGAATGAAAGCTAGAATCCAGAAAGAATTGCTTGAAATGAGGCCATTCCAATCATCCTTTCAGGTAGAGTATTGTCTTTGCCAATTGAAGGGGAAAATCCAAGTTTTATATAGTGAAATATTCAGCATCAGGTTATGTTCAGATTTTGTGTGTTATTTATCCGGGATGACAATGAAGATGCATATAGGGAAGAGGTGAAGGCTCTGGTGGACTGGTGCACTAAAAGTAACCTGGTTCTAAATGTTAATAAAACAAAGGAGATCATTGTAGATTTTAGAAAGAATCAGCATGGTCATACTCCACTCGGTATCAAGGATGCAGCTGTAGAGGTGGTCATTAAGTATCTAGGGATTAAGTATCTAGGGATGCAGATAAGTAACAATCTGAGCTGATCTCTCCACATCATCCTGAAGTGAAGCAAGTGAAGTGAAGCATTTAAACTAGCATCTGCATTTCCTGTTGGATGAAGAGAACACATCTTTCTCCTTCTGTCCTAGCCACTTTTTACAGAAGCACGATTGAGAGCATTTTAACAAACTACGTCGCTGTTTGGTATGGTGGCTGCAGTGCCTCAGATAGAAAGTCCATTCAAAGAGTGGTAAGGACAGCCGAGAAGATTATAGGAAGCTCACTTCCTGGTCATTTAGGATACTGCGTATAAGCACTATGTACTTAGAGCTCAAAGCATTGTCAGAGACTCCATAGACCCACTTCATGGTTTGTTTCTGTTGCTCCCTCTGGAAGGGGATTCTGTAACAGCTTTATTTCCTATGTCATCCATCTGGTAAACTCGCAAGATTTGTTTCTTTCACCATATACATGTATACATCCAAACTAAACTGTGTTGTTTCACAGTTTCATACAATACATGTGGATATATGCATAATTTTGTTTTTATTTATTTATTTTGTTATGTTTATGTAGTGTATATTAAAGGAGGAGACCCTTTGAGGACTGTATGCAAAATTTCATTTTAATATATGCCGATTAGTATACATTCAAAGTGACAATAAAGCTATTCTAGGGCAAGCCATCAATCAATCTCATCAAGATGTGACTCTAGGCTGCTATTAATACAGCTACTGGGAGTAGATTTCCTAAAAGAATTCTGTTTGCTACCTAAGGAAAACAAATGGACCTTTGATTTTATGCAACAAGATTATTTTATTTTCAGGTTTGAAAATACTTGCTTTTAAATATATCATACTTTCCTATTTATCAGTGTGCATACAGAAACTGACAAGTACAGAAATAATAAAAATGCAATCATATAAATGATAGAATGTTAAAAAATAAAAGCCATAGAAACCTCTTATATTTTCAGGAACCTAAGCTCATATTTCAGAAGGAAAAATAATCCATAAAAATACCCCATAAGAGGAGAGTCTCATAGTCACCTTCCTAGGAAAGTGAAGACTTAAAGAGCCGAATTCGTTCTCATGAGAACCTATCTGTCCCTTCCAACTTCATCTTAAGAAGCAGGCATTTCATGCAAGAAAAGACAATTCTTGAAATTATTTCTACCAAATAATTTTGCTAATAAATTTTGTCTATGGTGTGATATTCTTGTTGCCATGCAGGTGCATCTTGCTTCTAATCCTGTTCTTGATGCATGGTATGGAGCTCGGGACTGGGCACTGGAGTACATGAACCGTGAAGAAGGCTGGATAATTAGGAAAGATTACGAAGAGAAAGGTGGAGAATACCTTAAGGAACACTGCGCTTCCAATGTCTATGTGCCTATCCGTCTCCCAAAGCAGGCTCCACGGACTGCTGAAATGTCAGCATCAAGTAAAGTGCCAGGGACTGCCACAAACAGCATCTCTGAGCAAACGTGATAGGTATATTATTTTTGGATGAAGGTGGTTGTTTTCCAGAACTACAAGACAGTCTACAGAATTGGATGTGCATTTCAAAGACATGTATTGGGCATCTCAGTCAAGGTACTTCTATGTCTAAAAAAAGCAGCTATACTTTTTTTTCCTATAGCAGAAAATGTTGGGTGTCCTATGTTTGTGGTTGCCATGGGAAAAAAGGACTCCAGTACATCAGTTCTTGGTGTAAAAGAAACAAAATAAATATTTCAGAGAAAATGCTTATTAGCTTAATTGAATCAAACATATAATGTGTTTTCTATTAATAAATTGTTGCCAAGGCTGTTGGTAACATCAGTATCTTGTCTTGGGTTTATTTCATTTGATTGTTAATATGTCAGCATAATATTTTCCAGAGAGAAAGTAATAGACTGAGTTTCAGGAAGAACAAAGTATTCTCAAAGAATACACAAAACTGCAGCACTGGCAATGTTAGTCCACAAGAGGGAGCATTATCATAAGAAACGTTAGGAAGAACATAACCCAATCAAAATTACAGTTTTCATGGATGTGGAATGTTATAAATGTCTAGCTATTGGTTTTAACATATAGGAGATTTTTATTGAATTGGCATCATAATGAATCATAATAATCATTCTTATTCAAAAAGATTTGTTCTACTAATATCCATTGTGAGTGGGAACTTCAACTATGGCAGCATTCAATGAGTTGAATCCAGTTGTGCTGGGTTTACAAATTCCAGCATATCCAGCCAAGGATTTCAAATGTATCACTTTAATTAAAGGAAAGTTGAGGCAATAATGGATCTGAATACAGACTAATTGCTTATAGATTGTTTGTTTACTCTTTTTTACATTAAGTTGCCATTGTTTTTTATTTGCCATGTTGGATTTCTTTAGTCTACTGGAAACATAAGCATCACTTTTTCAAATAAGATTCACAGTTATATGTTGATGAAAAAGTGTAAATTTAGCATCATTAGAGAAGGAAAGCAGTAGGGATACAACCCAAATTATGATCCAGTTTCTGGCATTCAATCATTGTAGTTCTCTCTAGGTAAAAGAAGAATGCTATCAAAAACAGTTATAAGGTTTTGCTTATATAAAAAGCTAAAGCATTTCAGTTCCTTAATAGTCATATTCTTATATGATTTAGTTTAGAATTGTTCTGATAGCCCCTAACATTATTTTATTTGCTGTATTTACTAGTTTTTTCTCTAAATAGCAGTTTCAGTTTAGATCTTTGATAATACAGTAAGGGAGGCTCAAAAGTTTTGCTTTTTCTCTCTTCTTTTGGGGGCAAACATTCTAATTCCCTGATTGTCTCTTGGGAGTTTTTCCCCCCTTCTTAATCTCTATTTACTGTCCTCATTGGATCAACAAATTTTCCTTACACTAATCCTTAAAAAAATCTCATCATTTCAATCCTGAGCAGCAAAATCCCATTAAAGGTTACAGTAAAGGATTAAGGTAGGTGATAACAATATGAGAGAAAGTTTGGTCTAGTGGTTAAGGCACCAGGCTAGAAAGTGGGAGATTGTGAATTCAAGTCTAGCTGGATGACCTAGGACCAGTCATTCTCTCGGAGCCCAATTCACCTCTCAGTATTATTGTGGGGAAAATAGGAGGAAGAAGGTGTGTTGGGTATGTTCACTGCCTTGAGTTATTTGTAAACACAATAAAGGAGGGATACAAATAAATAAGTAAAATATATATTTTAACCCTGAATAAGTAAACCCACTTTATATTCCTTCTTTTTACTTTTAACAAGCTTCATTTTTAGTCCCTTCAAATAATGTCCCAGAACTTCATTTCTTTTCATTTTTTCTTGTCTCTTCTCCTAAAATTCATCAAAGCTTTACAGCTTGTCCTATAAATCCAATATAGGAATATTATCCAGGTCACTCTCCGGTTAGTTCTTTGCATATCCCATTTAATTATAAAGACATCAGCTTGTTTCTTTTGTAGGCCCAGTGTAGCATTATTCTTGTAGCTTGACATTTTAAAATCGACTTTCAGGTCAGTCTCAGTCGTCTCTGTTAAAACATGTTCCTCTCCCATAACTCTTAATATGTTGAATGTTAAAATATTTTGCTCCATTCTATATCTTGGGACAATTGTACGGTACACCTGAAACTATTGAAGCTGGTCTTGAAGGCAGCTGTCAGATTTGTTTTCAAGGGATCTATGCCCTACTGGAATATATAATATAATTTGAACTTTCAATGTTAATTTTGAATATTGAGTTCACTAAAAGTGAATTCAGTGCTGGGAGGAGAGATAATGGCTTTTAAGTTTTATGTATTTGTTGATTTATTTTTATCTTTTATAAACATACCTAATATTCCCCATTCTTCCTATTTTCCCCACAACAAGAACCCTGTGAGGTAAATTGGATTGAGAGAGTGATTGTCACTCTACAGACTTTCATGCCTAAGGTAGGATTAGAATTTACAGTCTCCTGGTTTCTAGCCTGGTGTCTTAACTACTAGACTAAGTTCCTGAGTTAGCAATGCTTCTATTAATAAAATGCCCCGTGGCAGCTTATTTCTGTTATACCTGTCTCTGACAAAACACCATTTGTATTTTCACTGCTTTCCAAAGTAGACATTCCATAATTCAGGGGCTTATTCAGGTTCTGCATGTCCACATAGTTGTGGAAGATTCATAATGTTAAGTATAGTAAGTTCTTACATTCTATATTAGATGTTTCTGTAGATTTGGCTTGCATTAGTTCATTCTTGTCACTGGTGCCACCTAGAAAATCAATTTAAAAATATCCTTCCTTAATATTTGCGTAGGCACATTGAAGAAAAGTGAGAACTGTCAATTTTAAAAATGCAACTGATTTCACATGTTTTTGTACTCCAAATTTAGCCATTAAAGTAGTTATCTTAAAAATAATGATTTTTGCTACATTCATTTTCGGGGTGGCCTAAAGAGGAAGAATTTAGGGAATAAATCACAGGGTGCACAATACATATGCATTAGAGAGAGTTTTTATAATCAGAGAATCATTTTATTCTTATGAAATGCAGTTATAAATAAGATATATTACAAGAGCTCTGACAGTTCCAAAAGGGTGGAAAAACTAGTCCCAGCAATTTTTGGCATGTGGTAGCTATCTTCCATAGAATAGTATCGCCCTCCTAATCTCCCATGGAATCCTGAAACAAAAGTCTCATAGAATCTAATGGAACAGGATTGTATCTTGCAAAAACAAGCCAGGAATAATCAGTTTTGATTATTTTTATTTTGCCCTGTACCTTGGCAAGGTTTTTAATAGTTCTCAAGCACCATTCCCAGTATTCTAAGAGTAACTAGTTATAATGATCAATTAAGTCTTCCAGAAAGAAATGAGGAAATAACAAGAAAATTGTTGGATTCAGCTCCTCCCAAATAAAAAACAATGTTTGCCAAGAGGTATGGTGAAAATCAAAAGCAGCAGAGTTAAATAAATATTTTCTAAGTTTATGAAGTCTTACAAAGGGCACAATATGGTAGAAATTAGAAATGCAATTTGTATTTACATTTTGCAAGTAAATGTTCCCGTTGAACTGAAATGAGGTTTTTTTAAATAATAAATCTCAAATCAAACTCTAAATAAATGGACTTTATCAGTCAATTTGGAGCTTGTAGTTCAGATAATCTTTCCAGCAGCAGGTTCATCATTATCATTATCATCATTAATGACATCATAAATTTGAATTGTTTTTATTTTGTGAAAAAACATACTTAAGAAATATACTTAAATATATATATATTTAAAAAGGCCTACATTCACATGATGTTTTGCATTAACAACCGCTTTGTTTAGCAACAAAATTCCACTCCCAATTAGGGCCCATTAAGCAAGAGCTATGTGTATGTGCACTTTTATATACAGATGATGCCATGTTATTTGGCTGAGAATTAGAATAATTTTCAGTAGCAGTTGGATTGGATGGGATCTGAAAATTAAGGAATTTTGATATGAAAGTAAATGTGCTTGAGAAAGAAAATCAACAATGGTAAATTGTATATAAATGGCAAATAGAGCAAGTAGATGAATTTGTGTATTTTTATAGAATATTTACTAACGATAGAAAAGTGGATCAAGAAAATGTTAAATATTTATTTATTGTATTTATTACAGTTGTCAAGACTCTAGGCAGTGTACAGTTGGCCCGATGCATATATTAGACAAAACTGGGCAGGAAAGTAATAAGTGATATGGAATCAGTTGCAAGACATGATTTTTAGAATATTTTTACCTCACCTTTAATATTTTTATAAATAACTTGAAACAGTCCACATATATAATATTACTTCCTCCTCCTAGTTTCTCTACAAGAAACATGTGAAGTTGGCTTGAGAGACAGTGACTGGACCAAGGTGACCAAGCCAGGTTTCATGTCTATGGTGGAACCAGAACTGATAGTCTCCTGTTAGCTTGGAGCCTTGCAAGAAAACACGGAAGCTCAGAGATCACCAAGGATCCCTCAGAATCACATTTAAATATGCACTTCTACACAGAACATTTTAGCTCTGTGAACATTTACCCATAAATAAATCTCAACGAATTCAGTAGGGTTTACTCTGTTTGTGTAAATGTATAGACAAACAGAGGGAGATGTAGCTTGGGCTGTACTGTAACTGGGGCCATTGCTGGACCAAGGTCATAACCTTGGTTTGATCACTATAATAATCATGGTTTGATCACTACTTCAATTTGTTTTACACCAGTTTGCCTTTAAAGTAACACAAAAGTTATAGGTGGTACAAATACAGCAGCAAGATCAAGCCCTGCCAATATAGAATTATACCTCTATTATAGTCACTGGATTGCTTGCCAGGAGGCTTCTGGGCCCAATTCAAGGTTGTCATCATTACCTATAAAGTTCTAGATAGCATCAGGCAACATGATATAATAAATGGAATTTGCCCATTCAGTCCAGTCATTGAGAGGACATAGTGAAAATCTCTTGCTCTTATGAGGCTCATGCAACATGAGTGACACAGCAGACCTTGGCTGCAACAACTCCCACCTCATGGAATAATCTACCTCTACAAGTGCATGCAGTCCCCCCTCGCCTTCTGGTTTGTTGCAAATCTGAAAATAATTGTTTGATGTGTTGTAGTAGGTCTAAAAACAGTATTTGTTTTGAATCCATATTCAGATCCAGCTGAGGGACTGTAGAATCTGATACCGGATTTCATTTGGGGTTTATTTTTGCTTTTGTGATTATGTTTTGGGTTTTGATTCGGATTTACCTATTTATAGTATTCTATTTTTTGTTTTCTTATTGATGCCAAGGATTCAGGCAGTTTAGAAATACAGTAAAACAAACAAATA